CTGAAAGGCAAAACCAGAGAGAAGTTTTAGAGGGAAGCTGCCCTCCTGAAGGGACGGGTCTGAAATGCTGAGCCATACAGCAAGCAGCCTCTGAGCTGCTCCACAGGGCACCCTGGTGAGGAGCAGCCGCTGGCCATTTCCACAGCACAGCAGGCACTTTCAAGGAAGCAATCTTGCTTGTTCAGTTCAATTACCCCAGTGAACCTCAGCACTAACACCACCCAGCTCACCAAATGTTAGCCTCAGAGGAGACCTACAACAGCACGCTGCATTTGGTTTCGCACTTCAGGATGGCTCCTGGCTGAAAATGATCAGAGACCTCCACATTAGCTATCTGGACCAAAATTGTGAGCAAGCTGCTTTCCACTGGTGCTACCAAACATTTCATCCAATGCCAGACTCTGAGCAGGGTAGAAGCAAAGGGAGATGACTCTCCTTCAATCACGATGAAGAACAAGCTACTTCATGTTCACAATAGTACAGAGCTTTCCTTAGATGAAAGCAGTGGTGAATTAGGGCAGGAGTGAGGCAGCCCTAAAGGGCTCCTTTTCAAGATCTCTTCACTCTCCCGATTTACCATTATCAATCTTGTATTCACACACAAACACGGGATCCCACAGGCACACTCCACACAGTTACAACACTTGAGACAGAGACTAAAACTGTATCGAACAACAACAACAACAATTAACAGTTATAACAGTTTGTCACCAATACCAGTATCACAAGACCAGTGATTCACTGCTCTGAGTTGTGCTTCTACAATGGTTGTTACACGTTTGGGTAAAGGCTTCTGAGAGCCCAGCACATGCCCCATGGGATGGAGAGCAAAGTCCAAGTGCTGGTGAGTGCTGCTTAACATGAGGGTGTTGCAAGAGATGGGTGCAGAGGCTCTGTCAAGTGAGTTAGCAGATGTGTCTTGTAGAATGATGATCTCTGGAGTCATGCTGTGTATGTGTGCCCATTCGGAGCTTTGAGCCATTCCTGCTGTTGTTAACTAGTCGTGTCTGAGGCTTGATCTGGTGGCTTCCTTTGGGTTGGATGGAATGTCAAGCCACCTCCAGGCCTCTTGCTGTCTGCAGGGTGGTGCTGAAGTGCTCTTTGTAGCTCTGCTCTCACCTGCTCCTCTGTGCCGTTTGCTGCAGGCCTGTCAGCACGCAGAGGCAGCACACCCTACCTGCAGGACTCTGCCTGTCTCGAAGTATAAGATAAATTGGAACCACTTTCTCTAGTTTAATTTTGGGATCTGCATTTCTTGAGGAGTGCCTGACTTGAAGCCAGCTGCGCAGGAAGCCAGGATGCCATCAGGACTTGTGCAGCTGTGCTGGCAGGAGGCTGGCTGTGCTGTGAGGCAGGCAGGCTGTTCCTCTGGGCCCGCAACCAGCTCCTGGCTCAGCCTGGGCAGGTTCTGCCTCTGTGCTTCAGTTTCCCTTCCCCATGGTGGATGTTTGGAGCTGTGACAAGTTTGCTGACCCGGTGTGGTGCTTGCTGTCCAGTGAGTGATCAAAATGAAAATAGCGCCCTTGAACCTGGCTTCCTCTACCCTCCAGTTGGGGAGGCTGTGCTGTGTCCTATCCTGTGGTGCAGGGCCCTGGGATGTGGGTTGATCTGGCAAGGCTGCCTGTAAGGTGATGTTGCTGCTCTGCACAAAGCTGATTACAGGTCTGATTCCATGCTTCAGTTTTGCACCCCAGATGGGACAATCTCTGTCCGGCTGTGGGACCTGCTGAGGACGGGACTCTTCTGGACAGCCCCGAGATTTCTTGGGAGGACTCCTCCACTCACTCAGATCACCGCAGGGGCAGACAAGGACCATCACTAGTGAATCATCAGGTATGTTTGAACCAGGTCAAGGGGATACCTGTAAGTCGTGAGGAGATGTCCTACGCAAGTTAAAGAGCCCAGGTGCTCGCCCCAAGGTTTTGATGTATCAATACACAGGTGGTAGGTAAAGGCATATACCTGGCTGCTGGTATACACCCACAAGAAGCAGGGGGCATCTTGTGGTTTGGGTCCTATAAGACACAGCGAGTGTCTTGTGGAATTGGTTTTGGGTCTTATTGGTATTTGACTTATTTTGTGGCTTTTTACAGTAATGATTTTTGTCTTGTGATTTTGGTATTGGCAAAGGGTGTTATAACTCTGTTATTAACTCTGTTATTAATTGTTGCTTGTTTGATTGAAATTTAGTCTCTGTCTCAAGTGTTGCAACTGTGTGGAGTGTGCCTGTGGGATCGTGTGTGTGTGTGTGTGTGTGTGTGTGTGTGTGTGTGTGTGTGTGAATGATAGATTGATAATGGAAAATCATCAGAGTGGAGAGATCTTGAAAAAGAGTCCTTTAGGGTGCATTTTGGCACACTGGAAAGAACTGGGAGGATTTCCTGGGGACTCAGTAAACAAAACGGTAAAATATTGTAACCAGTGGTGGCCTTTGTATACTTTGGAAGATCAGGAGAAATGGCCTAAAAATGGAACTCTGAACTACAATACATTGTTACAATTAATGTTGTTTTGAGGGGGCAAGGAAAATGGGATGAAGTGATGTATGCAGATATGTTTTTCACTTCAAGAAACCACCCGGCATGACAGCCTGAATGCAAAATTAATATAGCTCTGCCAGATTCCTTAATTTTGGCTTTAGAAAAGGACAGGGAAAACCAGAAAGCTAAGTTGGAGAGATGGTGTTCAGCCTGGGATATTGGGGGAATGAGGTTTAAAGTTAAGAAAAACCTAGAGTAATCAGGAAGATAGGTTGGAAAATTCTGTATCACAGGTACCTCCGAGAGAAGCACCCACTGCATCTGTCTGTCAGATATTGATAAGGAGGAAGAGATTGCTGTCACTGGCAACAAGCAGCAGATCCACATTCCGAGTTAAGAAAGGGTTAAAGCGGAAATGCTGTTGCCGAGGCAGGCATCTGGAGCCGCTGAGGAAAAAGAAAGGGAAAACCAAGGGGGAAAGGAGGGGAGCTCGAGCAGCTCCTGGGTCTGAGCGTGGGAGGAGGGATGTCGGGCGGAGATGGGGGAGTGGGCTCCTCTTCTGTGGAACCGGGTCGGTGTGCGTGCTATGGGGAGTTTGGACGCTGGAAGTGAGACTGAACCGGGCCGGGGCAGTGCCATGGGGTGGCTCCGGTGGCTGAATTGGAACGGGAATGAGAGGGACCTGGGGAATCTACCCTAGCAGATCCACCGGTTAAATTAAATGCCAGGGACTAGAGGAAATGAAGTGGAATTTTTAAGTGGATACAGGAGCAACTTTTTCGACGTTAAATCAGAGGAAAAGAATTTGTTACAGATGTGGGAGCTACTGGCCACCAAGGAAAAGAGAAAAAAAAAAAAAAAAGAGACTTTCTTTCTGAAACCTTTAAAGTACAAATTGGGAAAACAAATAGGAATGCAGAAATTTTTATGCATGCCAAATTCTCCAAAATCTTTATTAGGGCAAGAAGCAACATGCACAACAATAATAGATGAGAAGTTCAGGGAAGACTTGTTTACTTCATCTTGAGACCCTTGCCCACGACCACCAGGGCATACTACGCAAGCAGCGACCTTTTACCTCATTACAATATGAAGCGGGGATGGGTCAGGAATATGTATAGGTGTGTTGTGTAACCTCATGGATATGTAATAGTTTAGAGAATAAATATGAAGAATGCTGAGGTGCACATGACTTTGGGTGAGTGATCCCGCATGCGCCTTCAGCCCTGAATAAAGCATACCTACTTTACAACTTTTAACGAGTTGTGGAGTTCACCCATGTATCACACAGGACCCGGCACAGCTTGAGGCCTAGGCCAGAGCCAGGGGCGGGCGCTGTGTTGGGAGCAGCCGCCCAGGCCTCGGGGGTAAAGGCACACAGACACCACCCTCACACGGCCTACACGGGTTTCCCGGCCGAGCACCTACGGTACCGGGCACACGTCCCGGGGAACCGGAAGGCCTGCCGGAGGTGGGGGAGACCCGCGGGTAATCCCGAGGGCCTCAGCCCGGGGCCGCCCCGCAGCGTTGCCATGGACACGCGCGGCGCGCACTCACCCTCTACCTCTGACGCAGCCCTCGCCACCCGCCCTCCGGCCTGCGGCGTGAGACAAACGGCCGGCCCGGAAGCCCCGAATTTCTCACCCACGGTGGGGACTGCGCAGCCAATCAGGAGGCGCCCGCGGCACGTGACCGCGCTGCCGATCGGTGGAGGCGGCGGAGACACCGCACAGCCGCCCTAAGTCCCCAGCCCCGCCTCCTTTCGCCTCGCCTCGGCCAACCGCGACCTCCAAGCGAGGCGTGAGGACGCGCCCCGCGGGCGGCTGGCACCAGACCCCGCGCAAGCGCAGCCGGGGAAGGCAACGCAGCGGCGCTCAACGAACATTTATTGCGTGTGGCCATTGTGAGCGGCACCAGCCATGGGAGCTGACCCTAGGGGTCACCCGGTCCCAGCCCTGCCGGGGCAGGGGCACCCGAACTTGTCCAGGCAGGGCTTGGATGTGCCCAGAGATGGAGCCTCCACATCCCCCTGCGCAGCCTGTTCAGTGCTCTGCCACTGCAACGGAACAAGTTCTTCGTCGTGTCGAGGTCAAACCTCTTGTGTTTCAGTTCATGGCCACTGCTCCTCATCCTGGGGCTGCCCACCACTGAAAAGAGTCGGGCACTTTCCCACTGGCATCTGCCCCAAACCTCCAATCAGCTCCCTCCAACGGCTCTACCCTTCTTCATCTCTGAGGGCTCATTCTCCTAGGAAGAAACTGCTTTCACCCTCCACAAGCAGGGTGGTCAATGGGAGGGGGAGACACCGGGCTTTGCTCACAGGGTATCAGACCTCACTGCTCCCTACACTCACCCCACGTAGGGCTCCCCATCCCTGTGGGTCTGCTGGTGCTGAAAGAGCGCCAAGCTCACTCTGAAGCCCTTCCCGCACTCAGCACAGACGTATGGACGCTGCCAGTGTGGAAGCGCTGGTGACGGATGAGGTGGGAACTCTGATGAAAGCTGTCCCCGCAGTAGGTGCAGACGTAGGGCCACTCCCCAGTGCGGACACACTGGTGTTTCATGAGTGCAGAGCTGCAGCAGAAGCTCTTCCCACAATCTGTACACTCGGAGGGTTTCTCCCCTGTGTGTACCTGCTGGTGCCGGGAAAGCTTCAAGTTGCTCATCCTGCACCTGGCACACTTGTAAGGCCTCTCGCAGGTGTGGACACACTGGTGTCTCAGGGCTGAGTTCACGCTGAAGCTCTTCCTACAGGTCCTGCACTCATAGGGTTTCCTCCCACTGTGCACCCACTGGTGCCGGACAAGCTGCAAGTTCCTGTAGAAGCTCTTCCTGCACTCGGCACACTTGTAGGGCTTCTCCCCAGTGTGTGTTACCAGATGCTGGATCAGCTTCGAGCTCTCCCTGAAGCTCTTCCCACACTCAGTACACTCGTACGGTTTCTCCGAAGTGTGCACCCATTGGTGCAGGACAAGCTGTGCATTCCTGGAGAAACACTTCCTACAGTCGGCACACTTGTAGGGCTTCTCCCCAGTGTGCACCCGCTGGTGTCGTATCAGGGCTGCTTTCATGCTGAAGCTCTTCCCACAGGTCCTGCACTCGTAGGGTTTCTCCCCAGTGTGCACCTGCTGGTGCAGGCTAAGCTGCGAGTTCCCGTAGAATGCCCTCCCACACTCGGCATGCTTGTAGGGCTTCTCCCCAGTGTGGGTTACCTGGTGCTGATCAGCTTCGAGAACATGCTGAAGCTCTTCCCGCACTCAGAGCACTCATAGGGCCGCTCCCCTGTGTGGATCCTCTGGTGCTGAGTAAGATGTGACCAGTGCTGGAAACTCTTCCCACATTTGTTGCAGGTGAAGGGTTTTTCTTCGGTGTGGATTCTTCGATCCTGGATTAGGTCAGAGCTCACCTGGAAGCTCTTGGATCTCTGAATCCTTTCTGACCAGTGTGGCAGAACAGGATCCTGTGGAGGACATTGGGAACTGTTCTCCTTGGAGAGTCCTGAGCATAAACCCTTGGACTCCACTGGCCTGGGGATGCCTTGATGGGCATTGGTCACCCTCCACAAGCAGGGTGGTTAATGGGAGGGGGAAACACCGGGCTTTGCTCACAGGGTATCAGACCTCACTGCTCCCCACACTCAACCGACCTAGAGGTCCCCACCCCTGTGGGTCTGCTGGTGACGGAAGAGCGCAGAGCTCACTCTGAAGCCCTTCCCGCACTCGGCACAGATGTAGGGTCGCTCCCCGGTATGGATGCGCCGGTGGTCGATGAGGTGGGGACTCTGCCGAAAGCTGTCCCCGCAGTAGGTGCAAACGTAGGGCCTCTCCCCGGTGTGAACACGTCGATGCTGGAGTAGGGTTGACCTCCACAGGAATCTCTTCCCACACTCAGTGCACTTAAAGGGGCGCTCTCCAGTGTGGACCCGCTGGTGTCGTGTCAGGGCTGACCCCACACTGAAGCTCTTCCCACACTCTGCACACTCGTAGGCTTTCTCCCCATTGTGCACCCGCTGGTGCTGGAGGAGCTGAAAGTTCTCGTAGAAGCTCTTCCCACATTCGGCACACTTGTAGGGCTTCTCCCTGGTGTGGGTTACCTGGTGCCGGATCAGATTCGAGCTCACACTGAAGCTCTTCCCACAGGTCCTGCACTCGTAGGGTTTCTCCCCGGTGTGGACCCGCTGGTGTTGTGTCAGAGCTGAGCTCACGCTGAAGCTCTTCCCACAGGTCCTGCACTCGTAGGGTTTCTCCCCAGTGTGCACCCGCTGGTGCAGGAGGAGCTGTGATTTCCTGGAGAAGCTCTTCCCACACTCGGCACACTTGTAGGGCTTCTCTCCGGTATGGGTTACCTGGTGCTGGATCAGCTGCGAGCTCAAGCTGAAGCTCTTTCTGCACTCGGAGCACTCGTAGGGTCTCTCCCCAGTGTGCACCCGTTGGTGCAGGACAAGCTGAGAGTTCTTGGAGAAGCTCTTCCCACACTCGGCACACTTGTAGGGCTTCTCCCCAGTGTGGGTTACCTGGTGCCGGATCAGCTTTGAGCTCTCTCTGAAGCCCTTCCCGCAGGTTCTGCACTTGTAGGGTTTTTCCCCAGTGTGCACCTGCTCATGCTGGACAAGCTGCAAGTTGTCGGAAAAGCTCTTCCCGCACTTGTAGGGCCGCTCCCCTGTGTGGATCCTCTGGTGCTGAATAAGATGTGACCGGTGCTGGAAACTCTTCCCACGTTTGCTGCAGGTGAAGGGTTTTTCTCTGGTGTGGATTCTTCGATGCTGGATGAGGTTGGAGTGAACCTGGAAGCTCTTGGATCTCTGAATCCTTTCTGACCTGCGTGGGAGAACAGGGTCCTGTGCAGGACTCTGGGAACTGTTCTGCTTGGAGAGTTCTAAGCATAAACCCTTGGGCTCCACTGGCCTGGGGATGCCTTGATGGGCATTGTCTTCATTCGTGCTCACAATCCCATCTTCAGCTGCAATAAAATGAGAATCCAGACAAGTCACAGGCAGGACTGGAAGCTTTGGTCCCAAGAGGCCAAAAGCTAAAATTTCAGCAGATAGATTGACTTTAACTATAAAACATTCTGGTATATCCTGCGTTCAGGACATGGTATTTCCTCCAAACTACACAGTGGATTTTTCAGAGTGTTCACAGGAGCAAATGCTATAAATTACCCTGCATGCCTCACCAGAACCTGAATCTACTGAAATCACTGGCATATTAGAGGCAAAGGTTTACTGCTTATATGGGAAAGATGCTTGCTCTTCCAGGATGTTGTACCTGAAAATCATACAACCACAGGACGGTTTTAGCTGGAATGGACCTTACAGATCACATCCAGTTCCAGCCTCCTGCCATGTGCAGGGACACCTTGCACTAGATCAGGTTGCTGCAAGCCCCTTCCAACCTGGCCTTGAACACTGCCAGGGATGGGGCAGCCACAGCTCCTCTGGGCAACCTGTGCCAGAGCCTCAGCATCCTCACAGGGAAGGACTTCTTTCACCTTATGTATATCTCCCCTCTGTCAGTTTAAAGCCATTGCGTCTTCTCCTGTCTCTAATTGCTCTTGTCAAAAGCCCCTCTCCACATTTCTTGTTGGGCCCTTTAGGTGCTGGAAGCTGCTCTAAGATCTCCCCAGAGCCTCCTCTTCTCCAGGCTCAACAAGCTTTCTCTGCTTGTCTCCAGAGGATGCTACTAGAAGTTTAACTGGGAGTCAGAGGAAGGCCAAAAAGAACTGCCTTGCTCAGCAGAACATTACTTGGGTTGCAAAGGTTATCTCTGTGCCCTTGTGCTGCTGGTACTGCAGAAAAAGAGAAGATGCACAAGGCATGAGACACAGACACTGGCTGGAGCCTGGCTTATGCCACTCTTAGAGCAGAAGCAAATTAACTTTATGCTTTCACTGGTGCAGGGGAAATTTCTTGTGCGTGCAAGTGGTGGGTGAAGTGAAGATCCCTCATGGCTGGTTCCAGATCCAGATCTGGTTCCAGATTTCACTGAGGAAATCCAATACATGTAGAAGATTAAGGTAGGTGCAAGCCGAATTAATACTAGCTGAACAGTTATGAATGGCTCCTGGGACACAAGCAATGAACAGATCCCTGCCCTTTTATGTACATAAAGTCAGGCAGAAACGTTACTGATATGAATGTTCACTGCGCAGACCCGAGGTCACCTGAAAGCCTGTACAAGCCAAGGAGTTGTGCTGATTCTTTGTGCTGACCTTGAAAAAGCCTTCACTAGTACGTGACTATTAAGTTTTCTATGGTGTTCTATACTTTTGGGGGAAGATCAGGAGTGTCAATCTTCTTTTTACAATTATTGTCACAGCTCTAGCACTTCTACAATCATTTCTGTTACTTCTGAGCTACTAGGTACCTTCACTGGCACCTAGGACACGCTGTCTGTAAAGGCTTTGATCAAAATCAAGACAGGAACTCACTGGAAGTATTTCAAGTGGAAGGAGAGCAAGGTCACAATGATGAGGATTTTATACTAGAAGCATAAAGCTGAAGAATGTGGTTCTTCCTCAGCCCATGCCAATTTAGGTTGATGGCAAGACCTCTGATATGCCCAAGACTGCCAGTGCTATAGCTACAAGGCAAGCTCCAGGTAAGCAGAGAAAAGGGACATGTGGGGTCCAGAGGCATTCCCGAAAGACATTTATCCTTCACCAAAACTGGTAAAGAAGCTAAGCTGCTGTGGCATGAATGAACCTGACAGGGTGGTAGAGAAGGGAAAAGGGAGGTGCAAACATTTGCTGATGACTTTGTGTTCCTCAGGGTTAAAGACACAAAGGCTGACTACAAACTGTGGCAGAGCCTTGAGATACTGACCAACCAGATGACAGGGGACGGTCACTGCAGGTAAACAAAGACCTTCAGAGGAGAACAGCCTCTACAGCTTGCACTTACACCAGGCTGGGCCTAGGATGTTCTTTACCTTGACTTCAGCAAAGCGTTTGACACGGTCTCCCACAGCATCCTCGCAGCTAAACTGAGGAAGTGTGGTCTGGATGATCGGGTAGTGAGGTGGACTGTGAACTGGCTGAAGGAGAGAAGCCAGAGAGTTGTAGTCTATGGGGCGGAGTCTAGTTGGAGGCCTGTATCTAGTGGAGTGCCTCAAGGGTCGGTACTGGGACCAATATTATTTAATATATTCATCAATGATTTAGATGAGGGAATTGAGTGTACTGTCAGCAAGTTTGCTGATGACACTAAGCTGGGAGGGGTGGCCGACACGCCAGAAGGCTGTGCTGCCATCCAGAGAGACCTGGACAGGCTGGAGAGTTGGGCAGGGAATAAATTGATGAAATATAACAAGGGAAAGTGTAGAGTCCTGCATCTGGGCAGGAACAACCCCAGGTTCCAGTATAGGTTGGGGAACGACCTGTTAGAGAGCAGTGTAGGGGAGAGGGACCTGGGGGTCCTGGTGGACAACAGGGTGACCATGAGCCGACACTGTGCCCTTGTGGCCAAGAAGGCCAATGGCATCCTGGGGTGTATTAGAAGGGGGGTGGTTAGTAGGTCGAGAGAGGTTCTCCTTCCCCTCTACTCTGCCCTGGTGAGACCGCATCTGGAATATTGTGTCCAGTTCTGGGCCCCTCAGTTTAAGAAGGACAGGGACCTGCTGGAGAGAGTCCAGCGCAGGGCAACTAAGATGATTAAGGGAGTGGAGCATCTCCCTTATGAGGAAAGACTGAGGGAGCTGGGTCTCTATAGTTTGGAGGAGATTGAGGGGTGACCTTATTAGTGTATATAAATATATAAAGGGGGAGTGTCACGAGGATGGAGCCAGGCTCTTCTCAGTGGCAAACAATGATAGGACAAGGGGCAATAGGTACAAACTGGAACACAAGAGGTACCACTTAAACTTGAGAAGAAACTTCTTCTCAGTGAGGGTGACGGAACACTGGAACAGGCTGCCCAGGGGGGTTGTTGAGTCTCCTCCTCTGGAGACATTCAAAACCTGCCTGGACACGTTCCTGTGTAAACTTACCTAGGTGTTCCTGCTCCGGCAGGGGGATTGGACTACATGATCTTTTGAGGTCCCTTCCAATCTCTAGCATACTGTGATACTGTGTGATACTGTGATACTGTGATATCATTCAGGAATAGCACCTTGGAGTCTGAGCAGCTGGATGAAAACTGCAGCTCCTAGGCACACAACACAGCCAGTCAAGCATCAATGAGTACTAGGAGGGAAAGAATATGGAAGACAAGAGAATGTAATTCTGCCTCGCAGCTCAAACCCCACATTCTGACTGTGTGCAAGGGGGAGGACGGATCCCCCATGTCAGAGACACTCTGACAGAGCTGAGGAAGACAGAGGCATGACAGGAACCATCAGAGGCACAGAACAGATCCTGTATAGGAGAGGAGTCAACTGCCCATTCTGCTGGGAAAAGGTACAGCTGATAGGGGTATCACAGAGGACTATAAAAACACAAGTGGCCTGTGGGGGGGTTTGGCATCTATCCTGCACCATCTGTTCTAAATTAAGAACTCCTGCCAGCAGTAAAAGGCACTTTCAAAGCAAACTAAAGGAGGCAGCAATTCATAAATCACCTAAATAAGCTGGGGAACTCCTTGCTGCAAGCTGCCATGGATGCTACAATGTGCGCAGCTTGAGAAGGCAAGAAGAGAGATCTTGAGACGTTATGTGCCTAGTTCAGGAGCTTCTGAAGCCACAGACGCCTCAGGCCTGTGAAAGGATACAGGGACACATCACTGCTTGTCTGCCCTTCTCTGGGTCTTGATCAAGGGCTGGGCCTACTGCCTACTGTATGAGGAAAGGCCAAGAGAGCTGGGCTTGTTCTGCCTAGAGAACAGAAGGCTCAGGGGAGGCCTGATCACCACAGTCCACTATTTAAGGGTGGCTATGAAGAAGACGGAGGCTCCCTTTTCACAAGGAGTCCCATGGAAAAGACGAGGGGTACAAGTGACTCCTGGGCAGATTCTGGTTGGACACAAGAGGAAAACTTTTCCCAGTGAGAACACCCAGCCATTGCAATAATCTCCCCAGGGAAAAGGTGCACTCCCCACTGTTGGATGCTTTAAAGACTCAGCTGGACAGGGCACTGGGACATCCAGTCCAGGTCATGCTTTGACTGGAAAAGTTGTACTGGATGATCCTTGAGATCCCTCCCAGCCTGGTGGCCTGTGGTGCTATGAATACCGTTGTCACAGGCAGCAGGTGAAGCTGGACAGGCCCTGCTCCAACCCAGCACCGCCGCCCTTCTACATTCTGGGGGCGCTGGTGCTCCCGCAGCACTCTTTCTCATGACGGGTTCACACTCACGGCCCTTACCTGAGGTGCCGCTCAGAGCACTCTTCCCTTCGCAGGAGCGGGGACGGGACAACCGCAGTTCCTCCTTCTGATCCATGTGCATGAGCATCTCCGGCTCCGCTCCGGGGGCCTGCTCCGGGGAAAGAAACGAAGAGGGTCAGGCGAGCTGGCCTTTCACCGACCGCTACCAGCGGCGCGGCTCGGGAGCTAGCGGCTCCGCGCCGAGCAGGCACCCCGGCTCCAGGAGGCGTGCAGAGGAGAGCAAAGGGCCCCGCAGCACCCCCTGCCAGGGAAGCTCACGCGGCCGCGGTGGGCGGGCTTCCGGGCCAAGCCCTACCGGGTCAGGCCCCGCTCCCTGCGGCCCGGCCAGGCCCGCCCTCAGCGGCTGGACCGGCGCACCAGGGGGCGCTGCCCCGTGACGGCAGCGACCAACGGCGGGCGCTGCCTTCGCCTCCAAGGCCAGAGGAAGGTGGCGGCGCTGGGCTGCCGGTGGTGTCATAACAGAATTTAGTAGTCTTACTAACATGAGTGAACTATTTCTTACCATCCTTCTAGTTACCAGTTAGTTTGGGGACAGTGACTCCCGAACATCTGCTAGCTTAGGATACTCCTTGTCTGCCCATCCTGTTCTCCTTGCAATATTTCCTGCCCTTGTCTTCCTCGGGTATGGGAGGATACTGGACTGCCTGGAGGGGTGTCTGATTGGCAATCCCCACTTTCCTCCTGTGGTGGTTCCTGTCTCACAGGTGGTTTATTGTGATAAACACATAAATGTATTGGCTTTCGCAAATCAGAGGTGTTGTTATGTGTGACCTTCGTGCAAAATTTATTGCTTCCCAAGCTAGCAGATGTTCCAGAGTCACTGTATCCAAACTAACTGATAATTAGAATGATGGTAAGAAGTAATTCACTCATTAGAAGGATGAAAGGAAACAATTCACTCTTGTTATTAAGACTACTAAATTCTGTTATCACACCACAGACTGACAACCCAAACATTGTTCTCTTAGACCTCAGCTAAAAGTATTTTAACCCTATGTTTTCCAGGCACTTGCTTTCCTTATATCCAGTTCCCCCTCTTACCTTTTTAAATTCTTTTCCTATGTAACTGCATTTAACTCAAGAGTTCTGGCAAAGTATTTACCACTTTCGACTTGTCTAACCTGATGTCTTTTCTGATCCTCAGAATCAATTATGGACCTTTTACAACACGAAAAAGAACACTGTATCATGTCACAAGTAATCAGTGTTAAAACAATTAGTAATATTTCTGCAACCAGTTACCTCAAACAGGAGAGATTAGGTAACCATGAAGTTAACTTTTTCCATATTTCTTCAAAACCCCACGAGGTATCATCCTTGGTCATCTCATGAAATACTGTGGTTTGTTTCCAAATTTCCTCCAGATCTCTGTCAATTCTGCCACTTTGTTCTATATAGGAACCATCGATTATGGAACAAAGCCCTCCTTGTGAAGCCAATAACCTGTCTAGAGCCATTTGGTTCTTGGAACAATTTTGCACTTAAGTGCGAGCCTCGGTCAGAAGAAATTGCTGCTGGTACTCCAGAATGAGGCATTATCTTGTTTAATGCTTCTGGCCAGCATGAAAAAGTATCCGTTAACACCAACAAATATCGCTAACCCCCTTTTGTCAGTAATTCAGAAAAATCTATTTGCCGCTGCTGTCCCGGGTAACTTCCTCTCCCAAGTTTTATTATGTTTCCCCTGAACTCGCTTCCAGAGTTGATTATAGGGAATTAAAATTTGCCCACCAGGTATCTGAACCCAACCCTCTTTGTTTTCCTGCCTTTTCAGATCTTCAATCAACTTTTTATCCTCTTTTGAATATCTAGGTTCAGATTTCTCAATTGTTAGTTTGCCATCAGGAATTAAGGACATGATTTTAGATTGTTCAAATGCTCGTCTGGCTTCAAAATTGGCCAAATTATTTCCAATTTTCTGATTAGGGTCACCTTGTTGATGACCTCTACAGTACATAACAGCTACTTCAGGTAGCTGAACAGCTTCCAGTAGCCACAGAATTTCTGTAGCATGTTTAATCTGTTTCCTTTGTGTGTTCCGAAGGCCTCCTTCTTTCCAGATAGCACCATGTGCATGGGCCACACCAAATGCGTATTTAGAACCAGTCCAAATATTTACCCTTTTATCTTTAGCCAATTCCAGGGCTCTCATTAACGCTATTATTTCTGCCTTCTGGGCAGAGGTGTTTGCAGGTAAAGGTTCAGCTTCTATTAACTGTGAAGTGGTGGTAATGGCATATCCTGCCTTTTGTTCACCATTTTTCATGAAGCTACTACTACCATCAGAAAACCAAGAATCAGCATCTTCCAGAGGTTTTTCTTTCAAAGCTGGCTGGCTCGAATATACAGTCTCTACAGTGACCAAGCAGTTGTGTGTTAGTGGTTCTGTCGATCCTTCCAGAACACCAGAATCATGGATCCAAAGTCTGCACCATCCAGTCATTCCCACGAGCATCCAGAGCTCCTTGACGGTGGACGGTTGTGGAGTCTGACAAATGGCTTCTTTTCTAGCAGTTCCAAGTTCTCTCTGTCTTCCTGTTATTTCATATCCTAGGTAGGAAACTCGGGTTTGGATTAGTTGGGCCTTTTGTTTGCATACCCAATAACCATTCAGTCCCAGAAAATTGAATAATTCCACCATCAACTGAAGACATTCTTCCTTTGTTTCTGTAGCAATTAATAGGTCATTCACATACTGTAACAGAGTCCCCGTCTGAGTAGGTGGCTTCCATGATTCTAGTACCAGTGCTAACTGATTTCCAAAAATCGTCTCGTTTTAAACACTTTAGGTAATACATTCCGAGTTAATTGACTTTCCCTTCCGGTGTCAGAATTTTCCCATTTTGAAAGCAAAAATTCTGGCTCTGGCCAATGGTAAGTCCATTACAAATCTTGCATTCACACACACACATTCTTCTCCATCTTAGACCCAAGTTAAATTAAAAGTATTTTAACCCTAAGTTTTCCAGGCATTTGCTTTCCTTGTATCACCAAGGGCAGCTCCCCCCGTGCTCTGACAACAGTGCAGCCTCCCCCACTTGCTGCCGGAGCTCCTGAAGCTCTGTCTGCTCTCCTGGGCAGGGTGTTTGCTGCAGGATGAGGTGCTGGCACTGCAAGAGGCTGTCCCCACAGGCAAAGGGTCTCTCTCGGGGTACCTGTGGAAGGCTTCAGCTCTGCGTGTGTGCTGGGAAGGCTCATCTGTGCCAGACCAACAGCAAATGCCCACCTCGGGGGCAATGTAGACCCTTCATGGCAGGAACTTGATGAACAAGACATGGCAGCAGCCAGCGCTTTCTCAGGAGAAAGCATCCAGAGGACACAAAGCAGAGCTCTGGAGCTTTGTAGGTGGACTGCCTGCCCTTCCAAAAGATGGGGAACCTGATGGGGCACTGCTAGGCTACTGGAGTCTCCCAGGTCCCAAGAGTGGAGGAAGGCTGAGCTCAGGCACGAACTTAAGCCTTCAGCGATCACTTAAATCCATAGGGAGAGAGCATTGCTGAGCCATCTAAGATTACAAGACTGCATCAGGGCAGCTGGAGAGGCAGGGAACCTGAGCAGAGAAACACTGCTGGTATCTCTGAAGCCCCGTTCAGGTGGATGGCGGCTCAAACGTGGTTTTGCTCAAGGCTGCATCACCTCTCCCATGTGCTTCATGTCCCATTCCACAATGAGCAGCATATATGCAATGCCTCTGAAAGGAATTTTATGAAGGAATGATACTAAAACTATACAGGCACATTTGAAAGGCACTCCCAGAGCAGCTCCAGTCCACTTGAAGAAGCACAGGAAGGATTGCTCTGGATTTAGCCCTTTGATACCTAAAATCTGGCACTCCAAGCATAATCTGGTAGAAAGGGAAAGCACATAAGTCACAAGTATGCTTTACAGCATACCTCTACGGTGTAGATACACCAGCCCCTCCATGGAGCTTGGACATAGCAGAGACCATGGTGATGGATCACACCCACTCACGACATGGCATTAAGACAGGGAATATGTTCTGAAATACGTGTATGGAGAGAACTGTGCCTGTGTAAGAGAAAACAGCTCTCTTTTCAGATGCAAGATGCGAGAAGGCACGTAAACATCTGCAGTACGGCTTTTCAGAATAAACCTACAGAGGCTATGTTTTCAGGCAGCACACAAATCAATGTGGTGGTAGCTGCAAAGGATGACCCATAGTGCCACTGATCATTTCACTGTCACAGCGAATTTATAAGCAGTGTGTTCCAAAGGTCACTCAGGGCTCACATGGTGTATATTGGCAAGACAAGATTTGTACAATGCCAGTAACATACCTGCTCCTTTCTTTACCTTAAAAAGCAAATCAGTGCCTTAGTTGAAAAGTTGGGTTTGGTTTGCTTCTTCTGCAGCCTTGGAAGTGTTAAACAGAAGTATCAAAATATTTCTGATAGCTGTTACTACCCACTGGAAATAAAAATGAAAGCAATGCATTTTCCAAGACAAACGAGCTGCATTAGAAAGGCAAGAAAACACATGAATGCATACAAACAGAACTGGCTGGCAGCACAACATCACTGGCACATGGCAGCACCAGGGTGAACTTGGGAAGGCTGCCTTTGCTTACGGACTAATGAAGCAGGGGATTGAACGATTTCTGTCAGAGAATTTGGAGTGCATGTCAGAAACGTCCTTGTGGTCTTGAAGGCTATAAAAGAGTTTTAATCCTTTTCTCATCATTTGAGGAAAGTTTCAGAATTACAAGAGACATCTCAGTTTGTCAATGGCAGCAACAAGGAAGCACCAAGCCAAGCCCCCGCAAAGCAGTTACCTCCTAACCGTGACAGCACAGATGCAGTATTTAAGTCATCTTTCTGCATTAGGCAAAGACTGCCCTGGTGCAAGCTTTAAGGATGACAAAGACAGGAGGATGGAGACACTTTCAGTGCCTAAATTTCACCATTTTTTCATACATATTAAACAGTTTTTTATGACACAGTGTTATTTGAATGACTGCAATTTACATCCACTGAACTGTGACACCACGTTAACTGAAGATGTAATAATTGATTACAAAAGCTTTGATTGTAAATGCAAGTCATACCTAAAAGAATAAAAAAGCTGGGAAGGGATCTTACTTATTTTCTCATATTAAGACTAGTGAGTAGGACTGAAGTTTTTTTCAGGGATGAAGTGTGTACTTGAGGGAGAAATACACGGTACGCTGAGGGTGACAACATTTACTAGAATGCCAAGTAAGGCGAGCCCTGTCCTTTTCACATAACAAAGT